CCCTGGGCATCTCACTCAGATTCAGATGGCAAACACTCATTTCCTGCCCCCTGGGGCTCCACCGAGCTAGGAAAAGTGGGCCCAGGGCCCACGTCTGTGTCATTGGCCCGTCCCCAGACTCGGCCTGTGTGTCTGGCCAGCACTTTGATAGCCTGTCAGTTGTAAACCCCAGCGCCTAGCGGCACCTCGTACATGCAGTCAGCCCTCTGCAGGATCTGTCACCGGAGAGGGACGTCTCCCCAGGGGACTGGGCCACCAGAAGAGAAGCAAAGTCCTCCAGACACTCCAAGTCGCTGTCCCTCCCGGGGCAGGGAGTGGACAAACTCCCCACCTCTCCTTCAGACAGTGAATGTCCCCTTCTGTCCCCCAAGCACAGCTGAGGGCGATGCCTCCCTCTCAGAGTGGGTATTCCTACCTGAACACATGACCTGTCAGAAGGTCGCACTGGTCCTGAAAGTTCAGGTTGAACCGGGAGTTGAAGGTGCTGGACTCTGTCCCTGGCAGGTCACGACCTTAGGTCCTTAGCCCCCAGAGCCCCCGATGAGGTGGGGTCTAGATTCCTGGAGCACTGGGCCACCCCCCAGACCCCTGCACTTGTCTCCTCCTCGTGCAAAGGACAGAGCCTTCGGTCCATCTGATCTCACAGGTCCCTGCACAGGGACTGTCTTCTCCGCTGAGCCCACTGTCGCCAGCTTCCCACCTGCAGACAGCACAGGAGCCTGCCCTGCTGCTCACCTGAGCCCCGCTGGTCTGGGGCACCCACCCGGACAGAGGGGGTGGCCTTGGGGGGCAGAGCCCAGGGTTTGTCTGCAGAGGCCCTTCCTTCCCACCCAGGACCCCTGCGGAAGGGAGGGGGAGCAGCTGCACCCCCTCCCTGCTGCCCTGTCCTTGAAGGCCTCCAAGAGTGGACGGCAGGGATGAGCTCCAAGCTCTTCGGCTTCTGGAGCTTTGGCACACTGCAGCCCCCGCCGAGCAGAGGGGCCAGGGAGGAGGAGACAGGGCCCCTTTACGCCAGGAGGCCGCGCAGTCACCCTTGGGCCAACGCCTGAGCACTGGCGGGAGGCGTCGACTGAACCCAGAAAGAGCTGGCCTGGGTGCACAACCCCAGCTGGGAAGGCACAGGTATTCCTCACGTGGGGCCATGGCAATGCGACGAGGGTCTGAAGGTCACAGTTCTGGAGTCACGGGCTTCCACCGGGGGGGCTGCTCACACGCCCACTCCTCACAAAGACTGCCTACCTGAGCAATGGGGGCTCCAATGCACGATGCACGTCCGACGGCCTGGGGCGCAGCTCCAGAGGGAGGTCTCTGTGCCCTGGCACCACACGCCCTGCCGCATCTCCTGGGGCCACGCCACGCACGTGGGTGCCACGTGGGCGCTGCTGCAGCCCAGTTGCCTGCAGATGACCTCTGCCTGGGGCCGGCCCCATTGGTCCCCACACACCGCGCCCTGCAGCCCACTGAGCTGGACCGGCGTTGGGGCCTCGGGGCAGGAACACAGGGAGCTCGTTCGTGGCGTGCCCGAGAACACTCTGTCCAGAAGTTTCAAAAATTCAAGATCTAATTTTCACTTTCCATCCTGATTTGTACTCTTCATGTCAATTTCTTCATGTTTTCTCACACTTGATTTTGATGGCGTTGATGACATTTATGAAGTGAAATGTTAACAAAGTGAATGTCTAAGGACCACTTTCTGTGGAATCGTCACAGAATTGGGGACTTGGCCTTTCCCATACATGGGTCATGGTCACTTGGCTGCAAAGGGCTGAGACAGCCCTGCCCTCTGGGGCCTCGGCTGAGACTCCCAGGATGACACCCCATGTGATGCTGTCCCCTCCCTTGGTGGACCATCCTCAGAGCCCTCAGTCCTCGGGACAATAGCATTCACCTGCAGGGAGGGTCCGACAGGCCAGAAGGAGGGGCCACAGCCTCAGAGGGGACGATGTCATCCTGGTCACCTCTGCTGCTGTGCCCCCCAGGCACAAGCGTGGGCGCTCCGTCCAGGTGCAGGAGGTGGACTCCAGCTCAGTGCGGAGCTGTTCTGAGAAGGAAGCCGGTGCCTCCACCCGCCTCCCGTGAATCAGTGTCATCGTCTGTCCCGTGGAGCAGACACCCACCCACCAGGCCTAAGCCGACAGCGCCTGAAGCATGTGGCGAGGCCCAGGCTGGACGTCCCGCGGACCTAGCTGTGAGACTCGAGGACAAGCGACCACCTCGGAGCCAGGAACAGGCTCCGTGAGAAACGTGCTTTTCTCTGCCTCACACGGGGGTATCGATGAACAAGGGTCGTTCCATTGTGACACAGTAATTTGACCAAAGCCGTTAAAGACATGCATGACCTGTGACCAGCAACAGTAAAGAACGCAAACACCTCTCTCTGTGAGGATGGAGCCCTGGGAAAGCGGCCTCATGCCCAACGGGAGAGGAGCAACTACTTGCTGGAAGACCCGGAGGAAGGAATACTAGAAAGCCATCTAAAGTGCCAATGCGGACACGTGCGCACGGTAGCTGCGTCTTTTAGGTGGGAAACACAGGAAGCACAGAACGTGCTCCGGTGCGTTACTGTAACTCCAGCTTATATCTGCGCATCTGTTCAAAGAAAGGTTCTCAGTGGATATAAACCAAAGAGTTGATGTATTCATTTCTGAGTGATAGAAGAGTATATTTCCATTTTCTTTCTTGCTTCTATGCGTTTTTAAATTTATAATAATGTGTATTATTTTCGAATCAGAATACCATCAGTGAAAAGTTACTTTCCAAAAGAGAAGCAGTTTAAGAGAGGGCAGCTCAGGTCTTCAGACCAGTGTGGATTTCCAGAGAAGGACCCTGTTGGCAGGACCCTCTGGGCTGAGGCTCCAGGTCCTCCCAAACCTCAGCCTGGCTGCACCTCGCCGGGCTCCCAGCTAAGGAACACCCAGCATGCACCCGCAAGCCAGGCTGGCCACTTCGTGAGGCCAGAGGGAGGTCCCTGTGTGTGGCCCAGACATTCAGGACATCCCTTCTCGTCCCCCAAGGCTCTGTCGGAGCTGTTCCAGCCACATCCCAGGACTTGGCAACTAGCCTTCCTCACCCACTTCACCCCAGAGGCCCTGTCCAACCTCTGGACGTCACCCCATCTCCTTCATCGGGGCTTCCTGTCCAAAAGGGACCTTCAAATTCATCTTCCGCAGATAGTGGTCCTTGAAGTCACGCCCCTGTGCCTCCCCTACAGCCCAGGGGTGTGGGCATAGGGGAGAAACCCCCAGCAGGCTGGCCAGACCAAGGGGAACCCTGAAAGGTGGATGGAAATCGCTGCCGTCACTGGGAGACCCCCAGGATGATTAAACCTGGCCTTTGCTAGAGTTTTGCATGGGAGAGTGGGTGTCAGCAGAGATCACATGGGTGGGTGTGATCATGTGCAAACCTATCCCAGGCCCACACAGGGAAGAGGATACAGAGAAACACTTTCCAGAGGGTGTGGTCAGAGTGAGTGTGGTCACAAAGGGCTTGGTGGGTCATCAGTGCAGGGCAGCTTTGAGTGTTGGGGATTCTGGCACCTGAGCCAGGTGGAGGGCTGTCTGCAGATGAAAAGAGGGTGGCCAGGAGCTGGTTCATAGGGAGCCCCACCCCACACCCGTAGAACCTGCAGGCAAAAGGCTGTGGGCGAGGACAGTTGAAAACACTCCAAGCCCACATCAGACCAGGGTGAGGCAGAGAGAGGGCCAAAAACAGAACCTGGGCCACAGTGGATGTCTGAGGATTGTTATGAGATGAACGAATGAGTTCAAAGGGTGTTTAATAACATCTTTTTTAGAAATTAGGAAAATGAAGGCCCCCAGGAGCCTTGCTGGTGGCCCCCATGGCCAGCTGACGGTCATCACACCCTGCAGAGGGGCCGACTGCAGTCTTCCGTCCCAGCCTGAGCTCGGGGCCCGGCCGCAAGGAGCCCACCTGGACTTAAGGAGAGAGACATGCATTGGGTCCTCAGCGAGTCCTCAGAGCCCCAGGACTTCGGGGCCTGGTCTGTCGTTGCATCTCGAAGCAAGAGGGGCCAGACAAGACTAGATAGTGGGTTGGGGTAAAGTGGTGCTCACACCGTGTCTCCTCCCACCATCTGCTCAGGCCGCCCTGAAGCCGACTGGAAACAAGGTCTTAGAAGGACTCTGCACAGCCATGAAGAGTAACCCAAATAAAAATCTCAGGCCCGCCCAGCTGACGTGGCTCAGTGGATGGGGCATCGTCCCATGGGCTGAGAGGTCCTGGTTGGAGTCAGGGCCCATGCCTGGGTTGCAGGCTCGATCCCCGGTGGGGGACGTGCAGGAGGCAGCCAGTTGATGTATCTCTCTCACATCAAAGTTCCTATCTCTTGCCCTGGCCAGTTTGACTCAGCGGTTAGAGCGTCATCCCGTGGACCAGAGTCTCGGGTTCAGTTCCCGCTAAGGGCACGTACCTCGGTTACAGTGTGTCCCCGGCCCCAGTTGAGGTCGTGTGGGTGGCAACCAGTCAATGTCTCTCTCTCACATCGGTGTCTCTCTCTCTCTCTTCCCCACTCTCCCCCTCCCGCTCTATCTGAAGATAAGTGCAAAAATGTCCTCGGGTGAGGATTAAAAAAAAAAAAAGTTTCTATCTCTCTCTCCCTAAAAAAATCAATAAAATCATATTTTAAAAAAATCTAGGGCCCATGCCCAGGCGGTGTGGCTCAGTGGATTGAGCGACAACTCATGCACCAAGAGGTTACTGGTTCGATTCCTGGTCAGGTACATGCCAGTTTGATCCCTAGTAGAAGGCGTGCAGGAGGCAGCCAATAAATATTTCTCATTGATGTTTCTCCCTGTCCCTTCCCCTCTCCCTAAAAAATTAATAAAAACAGATTAAAAATAAAAACCTAGGGCCCTCCGTAAACTCCACATCTTCCCATTAGATTCCAGCGTAACGAGCAACTCTGAAGGCACTGCCAGGTATCAGCGCCCGAGCCGGTGACAGCAGTGAGGGTGACGGACACAGAGGGGCTCTCAGGTTCTTTAAATGTAGGTGCTGGCCAGAGCAGAGGCCTGGACATAGGCACAGTACAGCATGACAAGCACGACAGACACGGCGGACACCACAGCGCACAGGTGCACACCCTCGGGGCTCAGGGCTGTCCCCTGCTCCTGCTCCTGCTCCTCCTCCTGCTCCTCGGGGCCGCGCTCTGGCTCCCAGGCATCGTCGTAATCCTCTGTCAGCACCAGGTCCTGGGATGTACTGGGCCCCTCGACCTTGTCCCCCATGGCGACAGCTCCGATGTCCTCATAAACAGCTTCCGAGGGCAGATTCTCCGACATTCCAGAACCTGCAGAGGCCACAGCAGAACCCCTAGTCCTGACGCTCCTACGCCCGCAGCTGCTGGGGTTTCTCATTCGGGCCAGGACCCTCCCGACCCTCAGCTCCTCCTGCCTCAGTTTCCATCAAGAGCAACATCCCCCCACAAGGGACATACTTTCCCGGGTACCCGAGATCAGAGAGCTCCCCAGCTACACAGATGACACAGGAATGGGGACCCTTGGGCCTCTCCCCGTACCCAGGCAGCCCTGGGCGTACATATCTTCTCATCCAGCTCCTCTCAGAAGCAGAGCCAAGCTAAGGGTCCCCAACAAGTTGTGGGTCACAGACAAGTCCCCACAGGGGAATCCAGGTGGGACCCAGCATGCAGGGCACTGACCAGGACAGAGAGGGCCTGAAATGGGCTGGGACCTCAGGGTGTGCCCCCCAGCCTTCCCATCCCCAGGGCCCTGCGTCACCCTCACTGGCCATGCCTACCACCTACCCTTGCAGAATCCTCTGCGGCGGCACCACTGCACCCCCAGCACCAGGGAGACGGTGCCCAGGAGAGTGCCCAGGATGAAGCAGAAGATCATGGGCAGGGTCCCAGCTTTGAGGGGAGGTAGTGGGGCCAGGGGAGGGTCTGTAGGGACAGTGAGAGGCGGGTCTTCCCTGAGTGGCTGTACAGCCTGGGGAATTGTGACCTTGGGCCTGGACCACCTCAGTCTCTGGGGAGGGGGAGGGGCACCCCCTAAGAGGAGAGATGACCCCCTAAGGTCACATAGCTCTGAAACAAGAGGGAAGGCACAGAAGGGAGGGGCCGGGAGAGCGGCTCTTATGGTCCTGACAGCCCACTGCCCTCCCCTATGCTTTGGACACATCACAGTTTCCAAGAGGCCACAGCATACTGAAGCCAAAAGCTCCCGCTGGCGAGGCAAAGACCCCAGGGAAGTAGGTGGGCAGGGCCGGGCCTGCTGTCCCCCCCAGGGCTCTCCACAGGCTGCCACGAGGACGAACAGCAACGTTCCTCCGAGTGGGTGTCTCCAGCCCTGTGGGCGTGCCCTTGCTGACCCTGGCCCCTCCCCTGGACTGAGGCACAGGTGTCCACAGGAGATTCCAGGGCGCCCCTCCATGCGACCCCCTTGCAGGGCTCCTCCGGGCCAGGGTCAGACAGGAGGGTGTGAATTGGGGCCTTGGGAAGAGCACACCTACCTGGTTCTGGTGGCAGGACTGTGGTTCCCCTGTCACCTGCAGGAGAAACAGCCCGAACTTAGAACAAGGAAGAGCAGCCGTAGCCCTGAGCAGCCCAGACCCTCTGAGCAGCGTCCCAGCCCCACCCACTCAGCCAGAGCTTGTCATGTCATTGGACCCCCCTCTCCCGACGGAGGCAGCCTGTGCCCCAACACCCAGAGGGACCCAGCGAAGGGGCAGCCTCAGGGCCAGGTCTGGGAGCACCCACGGTGGTGGGACACTCCAGGGGAACCCTCCTGGCACCCCTTGCCCCAGCCCCCAACAACACCCTCCTCGCCTCCCTCCCACTCACGGGAACAGCGCACACCCGCGTCTTCCTTGTGCCCGCAGTCTGCATGTCCCCAAGGCTCTGCCGGGCAGCCCCACAGGGATGCCTCACTGCCCCGGCACCCCACCTCGTCCAGCCACACGGGCCCTGAGCCTGGACCAAAGGCAGCCCCCGCCAGAGCGCTGATGGCCCTGCCACAGCCCAGTTGGCGGCACACGACCTCTGCATCTGCCAGGTCCCAGGAATCGTCGCACACGGTGCCCCACGAGCCGGCGTGCCAGAGCTCCACGCGGCCGGAGCAGCGGTCCTCGCCCCCACGCACGCGCACCGTGCCCTCCTCTGGAAAAGGGGACTGTGGTCACTGCGGGGCAGGACAGGAATGAGGAGTGGACAGATGGACTGACAGAGGAGTACCTGGGCAGCTCTGGGTGGATGAGCAGTTGAGGGTCTCCCCGGAATCCTGCGTTGTTTTCTCCGACAATCCTATTGGATGAAACAGCAGCCGTTCCAGAGTAAATGCCCTGAAAAGCTTCAGAGGGAAGTTTGTGGAGCCCAAGTGATCCCTGGACCCCCAGCCATGGGTCAATGGGACCCCCAGCCCTGGGGGTGACCTGTCAGGATATGGAAGCCCCCTCCAGGCCCCCAGAGACTGCCAGGGGCCCACCTGCACAGGTGATCCAGACTTCCTCTCCACGGGCACAGGAGCGTGGATGCCATGGGGCTGAAGGGCACTGCCACAGCGTAAAGTTTTTCAGCCTGCGGCACTCGATATTGTCCACCCAGGAGATGCCTCGGTCAGTGTGGTCGGGCTTGTCCTCCAGCCAGCCCTGCTCCCCGCAGCCCAGCTGCTTGCAAATGACGGACATGGAGATGTCTCTCAGGGCGTTACTGCACACGGCGCCCCAAGTACCATTGTAGAACACCTTCAGCCACCCAGCACAGTGTTGGGTGCCACCTTGGAGCCTCAGGGCCACTGACCCTGGAAGACAAGCACAGTCAGGTCAGGGGAAATCTCTGGAGGAGGAGGCCAAAATGAGGGGCTCCAGCACTAAGACGGATGCCACTCAAAGCCATCTGACCCAGAGAGGCCCTGGCATCGACCATGCGTCCCCACAACAACCTCCCACCTCCAAGGATGCAGGCAGCAGTTTTAGCAAAAGGTAACCAGAGTTAATTCCCAGTTGTAACATCTTAGCAGGTATGCCAGCTGATTGTCCAGAAACCCATTCCTGGAAATTACTCAAAATACAGAATAATCTTTTTGCATAAGAGGATCAATTTAGCAGTGATTGTAACAATAAATAAATAAAAAGAATTAGCCTAGAGTGCCATGTTTGGACATGGCATCAGTCCAGGCTGGCCAGTGTCCACAGACTGTCATAACACGCTTGACCAATGTAATTCCAACAGGGGAACTAAATATTGCCACTTAACAGAGTATGAGACAATCCTTTAAAATTATATTGCGAGGGCTTGTAATACATCAAAAATACCTATATTCCAGGATCAATGAAGAAAGTTGGGTATGAATTGCATATGACGGAGTCATAACTAATTAAGAACTAATTAACTAATTAACTAACTAATTAGAGAAAACACAAGAAGCAAATACATCCGTGATAGATTACCAAAGTGGCCACAAAGATCTGCCTGTGTCCGTGCCCCTTGCAATGAATGAGCTTACTGCCCACCCACCCAATCTGGGCTGGTTTCAAGACTCTGGCCAACTGAATGAATGGGGCAAGAGTGACGGCGCTGTCCCACGCCAGGCCTCTTGCTGGTGAAACCCTGCTGCCAAGCTCGGTCCTAACAGAAAGAGAGCACCCCGGCCCTGCCAACAGCCCGTCCTCCGCAGCAGCAGCAGCTGCCTGAAGGAGTCCACCGACGGAGGAAGAACTGCAGGCACATTGAAAACACGACGAACTGAAGCGGACGTCCAAGAACTACACCAGAACTGACAGAACAGCAAACCACTGACATGGACACCACCTGGGGAAACGCTTCCAGAGAGCACGCGGGGAAATGCAAAACAATGAACCTCAGTGTTATTTAGAAAGAAACACAATGATTGAAATAGATGCAATCATTTCAGGCGTCTTGAGGAAAACTTGCCTAAAGCACAATAGAAACCGAAATCAATAAGAAGAGTTCTCTTGGACACCCAACCCCACTCTGGAGGGCACCCGGAGATGTCTGGGGAGGCGGAGCCACTGACAACACTCACGGGCTCACACCCCCAATCAATGACAAAATTCTGTCACTCAACAACCATCACACCCAGATAAGAGCTGCATAAAAAACCTCAGATATGTTTGAGCTAAAAACCTAAAAATACTCTAGAAAAAGTCCTGCAGCACACCAAAATATGCATCCAAAGATATGACACAGGGAAACTCAGGAGTGGGAGGTGAGCTTCGGAGAAGGGGAGAGACACCTTGGGCATTGCACATCCAGGACCACCAGCACCAAAGGAGCAGACCTCCTCTCCAACCCTCCCACCCCCAACCCCCAACCCCTCCACCTCCGCAAACAAAGAAAGGTGCTTTGTCATGCAAGATCCCTGGAGCCAGAGGGCAAGATCCATTGTGGAGTGCTCCATACCGGGAAGAGGGGAGACCCTGGAAATATGAGTGAACCCGCAAAGAGCCAGTGTGCATGGTTACCCACGGAGACACCACGACCATCGGACACCCAACTGCCCCATGAAAGAATTCAGCTAACAAGACCGACCTGAACAGAAGACTCCGGCGTCCTCCTTGTGCCCACAGTCGTGCTGGCCCCAGCCCCGCGACGGGCACTGCCACAGCGCAGACTCATTGCCACTGCAGCCCAGCTCATCCATCCAGATGCGCCCGGCCCCCGCCCCGAAGTGTGCGGCGCCCGGGGCCCTGAGGGCGCGGCCGCAGCCCAGCTGCCGGCAGACCACGTGCGCGTCCCGCAGGTCCCAGCCGTCGTCGCACACCGTGCCCCACGTGCCCCTGTGGAGCACCTCCACGCGCCCCGCACAGCGGTCGGGCCCCGCAGCCAGCCGAACCCGGAGGCTCCCTGCGGAGAGACCGAGTCAGGGCGCCCGAGCTCCCAGGCGGATGGGACGGGGTTCAGGGTCCCCACTCACCTGAGCACACGACGCCCGCGTCCCGAGAGGCCCCCGCGGGCACCATTGGGGACGCAGACACAGTGCACTGGGTCAGGCGCGTCTCGTTGCCCAGACAGCGCACGCGGCTCAGGCCCACCCTGCGCGGCCCTCGCCCTGCCGCGGGCGCGTCGTAAGCGAGCTCGGCCTCCCCGCACCCCAGCTGCCGGCACACGACGCCTGCGCCGTGCAGGTCCCACGCATCGTCCAGGACGCGGCCCCACACGCCGTCCACAGACACCTCCACGCGGCCATCGCAGCGGCTGTGTCCGTCCCTCAGCTGCAGGGCGTGGGGGAGACCTGGGGAGAGAGGCGGGGCGTGGGAGGGGCTGGCGGGGTGTGGGGGGACCCTAGGCCTGTAAAAGGGAGAGGACTGCCTCCTCCCCCAGATTCACCCACTCTCAGCCCCTCTGTCCATCGCTCTGGCTGACCCACCTGAGCAGACCACGGAGGCTGAGCTCCCTGGGGCACAGGCTCGGGCCCCCAGCGTTCTCACCGGGCAATTCCACAAATAGGGCTCCGTCCCAACACAGTGAAACCTGTCGGGCCAGATGGGAGCATCCCCGTGCCCAAACTGGCCTCCTGGAGGTGTGGCCACCGCGCTGCCACAGTTGAGCTGGTGGCAGAGGACGGTGGCGTCTGCTAAGTCCCAGCGGTGGGCACAAAGGGGTGCCCAGGCCCCCTGAACCTGGACCTCCACACGCCCCTCACAGCTGCTGCTGCCGTTGACCAGCCGGAACTCTGTGGGAAGGGGGTGTCAGGCTCCCTTTGACCGGAAGACCCAGCAAGGGGCAATTTCTTTCTCTACACCCAGTGTGGTGGCCACCGAGCTGTAGCCCGGCTCTTACCAGTTCAGGCTCAGCACTGGCTCACACCTCTGTGCAGAAAAGCTCACACTCTGTGGTCTGGCCTTGGGGTGGGGCGTGGGGGTAGAGCCTTCCTCTACGAGCAGATCCCTGCCTTCCTCCTTCTCACCCCTCAACCCACAGCAGCACACTCCTCTACCAGAACAGGACACCCTCCTGGCTGGAGGACCTTTGCGCTTGGGGTTGGAGCACCCAGGTGGAGTCCCAGAGGAAGGGAGGCAGAAAAGCAGGCAGGGGTGAGCCTCAGAACCCACCCTTCTGGCCTCACCTGAGCACCTGAGCCCAGCATCCTGGCCGTGCCCACACTGGTGCCCAGGTCCCCGACGGCAGTGGAATAACAGGGACTCGTTGCCCACACAGTGGAAGGCCTCTGTCCACACAAACCCAGAGCCCTGGCCAAAGTGGGCACCCCGGGGCATGGACACGGCCATGCCACACTGCAGCTCCCGACACACCACGTGGGCCGTGGCCTGGTCCAGGTCATCGTCACAGATGGTGCCCCAGGTCAGGCCACGCCTCACCTCCAGACGCCCAGCACAGGGGTGCTCACCAGCCACCAGCCGGGCCTCAGTGTGTCCTAGAGGAGGAGACAAATGACCAGTTAGGGGCAGGTGTTCCCAGGTAAACAGCTCAGCCTGGAGCCACCACCCTGGCCCACAGGAGGCTCCAGCCAGAGGAGGTCCTCTGTATCTAGGCAGTGGGTCTGCCAAGCACTGGACAAAACTGACGGCCAGAGGCCCATCCGCCCTGCACACAGAACAGAGCAGGGGTTGCTTCCCCAAGGTCAGAGGTTAGGGTCACCTGCTGCAGGTACCCATGCACACACGTCACACAGCCCCTGCATGTCCAGGGTGGTGGCATCAAGGCCCTGTATAATCTTGGAGGCAATGTCAGGCCACCCTCAGGCCACGGAGCACTGCCCTCTTGGGGGCACCAAGGAGCACCGTTCACTTCACTCTAGCCTGCCCTAATTGTAGGAAGGATGAGGGCAGTTCACTCTCACACCTCTGACAGTGCTGGGAGGGCATGACTCACCCCCGCAGCTGCAGCTAAACCGCACAGATGCTGCAGGACAGCCAGGGCCCCCCCCCTCCCCCGGGGCTCTGAGCACCCCCACCTGCCATGAGCCACCCTGGAGCACTTTCTGTGCTCTGGCCTCCAGGTCTCCGTCCAAAGCTGAAGTTGGTCATCTTTTCAAGGCAGCATTCTTTCCTCTCCTCCTCCCCTCCTTCCCCAGCCTGCTCCCTCTCCTCCGATGCAGCAAGCGGCAAAGATGTCCGAGGGGAGAAGGGAGCCAGGCGAGGCGGCCTCACCTGAACAGACCACCTCTGCATCTTGCTGGAAGTTGCAGCCGCTGCGGAGGTTGTTGTTGAGTCTGCAGTTTCGAATGGTGGGCTCGGTGCCCTGGCATGTCATGTACTTCCCGCCAGCGGCCACATCTTGACGGGCAGCCTGGAGGGCAGGACCACAGCCCAGTTCCCGGCAGAACACGGTGGCCTCCTCCTTGTGCAGCCCACAGAGGCGGTCCACTCTGTTCTCGTTCCTGATCTCGGGGAGTCCCGAGCAGGGGCTTCGGCCCTTCACCAGCCGGATTTCCCGGAAAGTACCATCTGCAAAGCACAAGCCAACTCAGGTGCTGCACCTTCCGCTGTCCCCACAGTCACTCGGAACCAGTGGCCTGTCTTCACGACCACACATGTCCACTTGGGCACGGCAGCTCCTTCTAGGCACTCTGCCCTAGGCTAGGGGTCACAGCCCCAGAGACACCCCTCAGAGGAGGCACAGCTTTCTGATGAGGCAGTCACAAAAGGCCCCTCGCTCAGAAGGACCCCACTCAGAGGGGCCCAAGCCTGGTGTCATGTGCTACTTTATGCTCCTGACAACCTTAATCATGTTCGAAAAGGCATCTGCACCCCACAACCGAAGCAATGGGTTTGCTTCGATGGCAGGACGCTATGAGGGCCTCAGGAGCTCTCACTGAAGTGCCCACGACAGCTGAACACCCTCAGGACAGACCTCCCAGTCACTTGAGTCAGAACTGATTAGATACGCACGTTGGCCCTCCAGGCCTCCTCAAGTGTCTGGAAGGCCAAGCGGTCCCCTCCCCACTCCTCTGTCCGCTTTCTGCTCCTCATTCCAGAGGCTGTTCCACTGGTTGGTTGGTTTAGTCTCTGTCTCTGCCTGGGGAGCCCAGGCTCCCGCAGCAGGAAGGTGCCTGGTTATTCACAGCTGCAGCCTCAGCACCGAGAACAGTGCCTTGCGAGGACAAGGAACTGCCAAGAGAGACTGGGCCCTCCTAGAGGAGTCAGGCTGGCTCCTGTGCCCAAAAGGAGCCCACCCAGGGAGCCCACGGACACGCCTGCCTCCCCCCTCCCCCCGTCCCGGGACTCCTCCTCCCGACTCACCCTCCTGCGCTGACTTACTCTTGCACAGTGCCACCACCATCCACTCATGCGGGCACTGGGCCTGCGTCCACGCCCCGAGGCTGCACTCCCAGAGGGTGGACTCGTCACCCCTGCAGGACACGTTGTGGAGCAAAGGCTGCATCTTCTCTCCAGGCAGCGGGACGTACTTGGGGGCGCCGACAGCGGGGCCACAGCCCAGCTGCCTGCAGACCACCGACGCCTCTGCCAGCGTCCACTCTCGGTTGCACACGTATCCCGACATCCCCTTGTGTTCGACGGTCACCAATCCATCACACTGATTCTCTCTGCTCCTCAGCTTCAGGTTGCCTGGTTCGCCTGTGGAGGCACAGGCCAGCCTCAGAGGAACCAGACCATCAGGTGCCAAGTGGGGGGAAGTCCAGCGGGAGCTGTGTGGTGATGGTCACTGCATTTGCCTGGGGCCACCTCCTAGGCCTTGCTGTCAATAGAGCCAGACTAGGAAAGTGACCACAGGCTTCCCCTCAACCTCACCCCTTCTAGGCCTCTGCACCTGGTCTTTCCCTCAGCCCTTGGCCACCCCCAGCTCATCACAGCCCTCTGATGCTCCATCCTCAGCCCCAGTTCTGGGCTGGTGCAGAGAAATAAAACAGCCAGGACATTCGTGTGGGTGGGCCATCTTGTCCCAGCCTGGGCCATCCCAGACCACTCCCAGGGCTGTCCTGGACTCAGTGGGGAGAGAAGAGAAAGGGCAGATCCGCCACTGGGCCAGAGGAAGGCACATCCATCCCACTTCCCAATGGAGGTCTTCACCCATCACCGCCGCTGCTCCCCCAGAGCCTCCTCCTGGCCCTCCCACCCAGGACCGTGCACCTGTGTCTGCCCTTACAAAATGGGGCCCCTACAGCCATCCCACATCGCTCCACCCACCGCTCACTGCCAACAGAATCCTAACCCCACCACCCGGGTGCCCCTTCTGTCCAGCTCTGTCACCTCCTCCGTGGACCCCTGGATCAGCATACACAGTGACGTTTTCTTTCATCAGGGCACCAAATGCTGCTACCCTCTCCTGCCTCCCTGCCCTGACAAACACACACACACACACATACACTCATGCACGCACACTCACATGCATATGCACACGTCACATTTTTCTCTCACACACATACATGCACAACCACCCATGCTGCTGTAGGCAGGTCCTCCAGGGGCTCATCCTCACCTCCAGCCTCTCCTGCTGTTCCTCCAGGGCTCTTTGCAGGGCCCCATCTGCAGCTTCCTGCCCATGACTCTGCCTCTTGGCTCTGGACCCAGCAGCTCCCCCTACCCCTGAGTCTGGTGTGGCGTCTCCCTGCGACTGTAGCTGTCCTCCACGTCCCGGCACCATGCCCAGTGCTCAGCCTCACTGCCACGTGTACCAACTTTCCCAAATCCCATCCTACCCCAACTCTGCTCCGGGGGACAGAGGGTGGAGCAGGCCCTCTGTTGGGCCCATCAGCACCTCCCGTCAGTCTGGGTCATTGAGACCAGACACCAGCCATGTTCCCTCATTTCATCCCTGCCCTGGCCCAGCCCACACCCTGGGCTCTGAGCAGTGGGCAGGAGGCCCTGGATTCACCCTGGGGTTGGACCTGCTCAGTGCAGGGACAAGAGTCTCCAGGGGTCCAAACTTTGGAGTCCACATACCCTTCTGACCCAGAATGTCCACCCACCTCTGGACTGAGCGAGGCTCAGACAGCTGGTCAGAGCAGGGGATCCTCATGCTCAGGGTCTCAGCATCTACCGAGCCACTGCCTCCAGAAGGTTCCGTGGATGAAGGAAAGAGAAACTTACCGATGGGGACTGCCCAGAGAGTGAGGAGAAGGGGTCCGACTCCCAAGGCCCAGAAAGCCGCCTTCATGGCCCCTCAGCCCCAGGGCTTCAGCCAGCTCCTGTCACTCCGCTGGGCGACGGCAGTCCAGAGTCACGTAGACAGAAGTGGGAGCTGCTAATCGCCCCCCAGGACCAGTGGAGACAGCGAGCACCTTTCCAGAGCGTTGTCAGTGGCTCCCACTCTGATCTGTGAGCCGAGCAGCCAATGGCCTCAGCAGCCCGAGCATCGCCAGACATGCGCGAGGGGCCCGGGCTGCGGGTTTCCTCTCGTGCTGATAACGCTGACGGGGCTGCTTCGCTCAGACCCTACGACCAGGCGGGTGGTCCAGTCTGCCCAGCGCCTCAACAGCAGGAAAACTCCGCCTGGTAGGTTGGGATCCCCAGCACAGACAGTGACACAGTGACACAGTGATCCCCAACACAGGCTGGGGACCAGCGAGGACTGGGGGGGCCCGCAGCACAGAGGAGTGAGACAGGCCAGGAAGTTTTGCTTTGAAAACTAAACTGTCGTTGGGACCAAAGTCCACAAAAGAAGGCCAAGACCTGTACCCTGAGCTGAAACAGGTGACCACCTGCTGACATAGAACATTTAAAAAGAATCAAGAGTCTCCTGACATAAAACTAAAATGCCCAGGATACAAGTGAAAATCGCTCACCATGGGAAGAACACAATTTGACGCTAAAGGACAATCAGCCGATTCCAATGCCAAGATGAACTAGCTGTTGGATCCCCTGACAAGGATTTTAAAACAGTATTCATAAAGCCCAGTATTTATAACCTCTGGCCAGTTTGGCTCAGCGGTTGGAGCGTCGGCCTGAGGTCCAGAGAGATCCGGGTTCGGTTCCCGCTAAGGGCATATACCTTGGTTGCAGTTTGTCCCCGGCCCTGGTAGGGTCGTGCGGCAACCACTTGATGTGTCCCTTTCACATTGATCTCTCTCTCTCTCTCTCTCCCCCTCCCACTCTATCTGAACAAAAAATGGAAAAATATCCTCGAGTGAGGATAAAAAAAAAAATCGTTTCCAACACAAATTGCAGATTCTTTTGAAGCAAATGGAAAAATAGAAAATCTCAGCTAAGAAACAGAAGTTATAAACATGAGCCAATGGCAAGGATGTGGAGAAACTAGGGTACTCTCACATTGCTGGTAGGGTTGGGAAATAGTGCAGCCACTTTGGAAAACAGCCTGGCAGTTCAAAATGTTAGACATAGAGGTACGCTGTAACCTGGCAACTCCACTTCTAGCTATATATATCAAAGAGAGAGGAAAAGTCATGTCCACACAAAAACCTCTACAAAAATGTTGATGGCAACATTATTTATAATAACCAAAAAACAAAACAACAAAACCTAGATGTTTACCAATTGATAAATGGGTAAATAAATGCAGTAAATCCATACCATGGAATATTATCTTCCCATTAAAAGGAATGGAGTACACAGGTTACAACAGTATGAACCTTGAAAACGTCATGCTAAGTGAAAGAAGTCAGACACCAAAGACCACAAATATGATTCCATTTATATGAAATGCCCTAAATAAGCAAATCCAGAGACACAGAAACTAGGTTAGTGGTTGCCGGGGCTAGAAGGAGGCAGATGTGGAAAATGACCACTAATGGTCACAGGGTGTCTTCTGGGGGTGATGGAAATTAACTAGTGGTGATAGTTGCAGAATTCTAAATACACTAAAAACCATTGGCTTAGACACTTCTAAAGGATGCATTTTGTGGTACATGGATCATAGAAATAAAGCTGTTATTTTTTAAATTCTAAAACAAAAATTTTATTGAAATTAATTATCATATTTACAGAAAGAAAATGTAGAAGTTATCTGTTTTAAAATTTTAAGGATACCCATTTAGCACTCATTACAATTCTTCTAATTCATGATCTGAAACTGTCTCCCATACTACAAAGCGAATTCTTATTAATCTGCAGTACAAAGAAAAACATACAAAAACCTGGACTGTTATCAAATCATTAAACTCAGAGAAAAAATAAAAGTGCACAGAGGAGCTCACACTGGAATTACCGGATACATTACCACTAGCTCTATTTTATCATTTCTTTCCCATATTATTTCCAAAGCAAAATATACTCATTATATTCAAGGAGAAATGCTGCATTGTGTTTGACTGCTTGTGGCTGCTTTCTTACTTTTATTAATGTAATTACTGAAGTTCTGTGCTCTAAGGACCACACTATACCTTGTATCCATGGGCCCTCCTTGATACCTGTAGGTGTCATCAAATACGTAAAAAATAAACTTGCTAGGAAATAAAGCAAAAATAGGACAGTAAAAACAATATGGTATGCACTTTTTTTAGAGGAAAAATGCCCTTAACAATGCTTACTATCGGCTCAGGAAACTAGAGAATATATATTAGAACCTCGGTCCTCAGAAAATTATTTTCCTTAATCATTATTTGTCTAAGAAGAGGTAAATCATACAATTTACAAAAAGAAAACTACTGAATCCTTCAGAAAACACAACCTGGCAGTCTATCGTCAAAGCAAAACAATGCGGGGGCAGGAGTATGATGGAGAAACCAGTCCTCAAGAGCATCATGGAGGGAACCCAGCTGTGCTTGTATGGCCTCTGGCTGGTCCCAGAAACCCAATGACTCCTAGTGACTGAGTTCCCCACGAACTGTCTCCAGACCCTCTGAAGCGCTATTGCTCACTCCTGGCTGCAGAACAGCTTGCGGAGATTTTGGTTCTCCCTGAGCCGAGCGAGCCATCTGAGACTGAGCTGCCATCTGACTTGTGGGAAATGAGACTCCTTTGCCTGCCTGAAGTTTCTGACTGCTTCTTGACCCGTGGAAGGCCAAGGACAAATGCTTGTGCTTTGCATTGTCTAAGATGAATGTCTTCTAACTGCCCCTGCAAAGCTGCTGGCTCCACAGGGTAATAATCTGGCTGATCTAAAGTGAAGGATATCGCTTCAAGAACTAGATGAAGATCTTGTCTAGAGAAAGTGCAGCTTGAAGTTTTCCTTCCTCCTCTTCACAGAAACCGTTCTCAGCCTTCAGGTGAAGGTTTTGAAGAGTTCGGATGAGCAATCAGGGAAACCTTCCTACGTTTGTTGCATTTATGAGCCGCACTGCCTGTTTCATGCTGGGCTCTCCCGCAGGGTCAGTGGCATGGATGTCGCCATCCTCGAAGCTCCCTCGCCCGACTGCTACCTGGCAGCTGCCAAAGCTGTTTTTTGTTTTGTTTTGTTTTGTTTTTAAAAAAGAATCAAGTGGATATTATAGAACTGAAAATACAATTACTGAAATGTTTTCATTCACTGAATAGACTCAGTAGTAAAATGAAAATGACAAAAGACAGCATCAGTGAACTTGAAGACACACCAAAAGAATTTACTCAGTGTAAACAACATAGAGAAAATAGAAAAAATTAATAAAG